TCCCTAGCCTTCGCTTATATATCTCAATAACGGAGAAATAAATACCATAAAAAGTGACAGATCGAGTTAGATTCATCATTACTTTAAACTGAAAGACCTAATAGCTGGCGGTATTTCAAAGCAAAGAGGATAGCAATAAATCAACTATTCGGACAATCCAAAGTTTCGAAATTATGGATGGCGAATAAATCTCTTGGTCATAAGCAATATCGTTAATCAGATTCTGGCACTACTTCGAAGTTAATCCGTCAAACTGTAAACATTTTAATGCCAATCAAAGAAAAGGTTAAAGTTTGGTGAGGATAAAAACAAATTTTGTGAGCTTTTTCTTTCTTTGCATGTCAGCTTGGAATTTATTTGTCCACTGCGTGTGATTTTCAAAAAGAGTGGGTCAATTCCTCTTTAATTTGACCTTTTAAAATCTCACTCTACACGCCTACGTCAGTTCTTACGAACTCCATCATCAGCCTTTACTAGTTTCTTTCTGATAGTTTTTTTACAATGCAATCGCACGACCAGAACACAACTTTATATTTAAACAATTCACAATACATGTATATTCAAAGACCTTGCAAAAGTACATGTATATAGACTAAACGCATTTGAAACATGAATCCGGGCATTAATTTTGATTGTGTGAATGCAGCCAGGGCAATGAGATATTGTACATGCATGTCGCCTGCAGCCAGAGTTCGAGTGGAATTCATGGCCATGCCAATGAAGTAGTTTCCTACAAGCATATATCTTTTCTAAATAAAGGGCTCTTGTATAGTTATTACCCACAAGACCTGCCCTGTCATGACTTGTCTACATTAACTTATACAGACCGTTCTCCTTCTTCCTTCTCCTCTCTCTTGCTCTTTCATTCATGTCTCTTTTCATCCATCGCCCTGTCTCTCCCCTCTCTTTATTTCTCTCTCTCTCTCTTTCTCTCTCCTTCTTCCTCCTCCTCTCTCTTGCTCTTTCATCCATGTCTCTTTTCATCCACCCCCTGTCACTGTCCCTCCTCTTTTGTATCTCTCTCTCTCTCTCTCTCTCTCTCTCTCTCACCGACACCCTCTTTACCCTTCTTTCTCTTTCCCTCTCATTCATTCCTGTCTCCTTCTCCCTGTCTCGCCCTCTTTCCACTATACCCTCTCTATTCCTACTCTTTAATTCTCCTCATCTATACCCATGCTGTATATACCTCCATTCATTAAGTTAGTTATATTCATACCTCCAAAGAGGATCTCGACCAAGGTTAATGCAATAATGATTCATTGAGAAAAAAAATACGCGTGCAACTGGAGTGTGGTTTCCATTAAATATGGAATGTCTTGTAAATACAAAATAGTATGTGGGAGGGAACAGTTTCTAACTACAACTAATGGCATATAAGTTTTCTCATATTACCTATAATATTTCATACAGTTTTCATTATGATGATAGGTTCATAACTAATGAAGTTATGATGAATACCTTTCATTCAGTCTAGTATCATACATAATTTTAATTTTTCTTTGAAAATACTTTGTCATTCAGCCTGAATACTAGAAATGCTGCAAGGAAAATCGATACTTCCAATTCGGTTTTTCGACCACATATTGTGCATTTTCAAAGCAACTTCTTATGAATATCATATTAGAACCTGCTGTGTGCTGCTGTATACACAACTGGTTATTTATCGTGATTTTTCAGGACTAATGCAAGCGCTTACAACCTTCCTAATGAAAAGCTTATTCCATCAGAAAAGCTATAACGATCATTGCATACTATGGCGTACCGGAACAAACCCTACTGAGTACTCAGAGATTATTTGATAACCGAAAAGAATGATCTACAGTTGCTATTTTAAAAGGGTAATCAGGTTTAGTACTTGTATGGAAGATATATCAAGATAGAGATATATCTGGTTATATCTGGTTCCTGCTAAAGTTCATCAATGACAAAGAAATCATTATCATCATGTATCGGTTTATAGGCGAGAGTACACTACTTATACATCTGTATCGATATCATTGAACTTTCTTACCTTGAATGTATTCTTGCGCAAGTAAACAAAATGAGCGAGTGGCTCTTCAACATTGAACGAATTGTCTGTGGCTTTGTTCAACAGACTTCTGGCAAATATTTCCCCAGCAATAAGTGAAGAGTTATAAAGTGATCCCCGGACACCAGACCACTGCCCGAAGTAGGGTGGATAATGTATGACCTGTCAGACTTGTGCAACACGAATCATTTACACAACACTACAGTGGCTCTTAAGAAGGGGAGTCGGCAAGAGTTTACAAGGATATTAGTTTTCAAATGCAAAGTGCTTGATGTTTGAGGTAAATTTGTACGGGTATACAAATGAAAATTTTCAAAAGACTTAGGTTTTTACTGATATATTAGCCATTACCAGGGAATGTTGTTGTCACCGAAGCTATGTCTGTGCAAGAAGTTACCAGTTGCTGGTAACTTCTTGGTCTGTGTTACCCTATATAATTATGTATTATATTTATACACGTTTTTCTTTTAGGTCTTTAGAAGGTTTTATTGTACCTTTGGAGATCACGTTGTAGGGACGAATTAGGGAATGAAACGTAATACTAACAAATGGATGCATGTAATTAGATAGTTATTCACGTATTTTATGGAGGAATTAGGGAATGAAACTTAATATATAAAAAAGGATGCATTTAATTAGATAGTCATTAACGTTTTAGGGACGAATTAGGAATGAAATAAACACTAACAAATTGATGCATTTAAACAAGTGTACCATTCAACTAGTGCCATTTTTCGTAACATATGTTTCTCTTAGATATTTAACCGTGTTTTTATGTTGCTTCCTTTAACTGACAGTGTTAACTTCAAGTATTTTACAATACTAGTGAAACCTCATCGCATATTCAACGTCATGTTGCAGGTGTCATGGCAACTTTCATCATCTCTCCCTCTTATTACTTTTTTATTTAGTAAAACTCGCAGGTCATACATCTGCATCTGAAGCCACCTTCTACATCAATTGATACCGTGTTCTTACAAAACGTTGGAGTTAATACATTATCTCCACGTTGAAACACGCCAAGATAAACATATCGAAACGAGGCAATTTTCTGCCCGTGTTCTGAATATTTATTTGGATTTTGTTGTATTTGGGTTTCAAAAATCAGATGAAATCCTTTATCTTAGGCATGTAAACGTTAGTGAACTATTTTTTTCAACTATTCGATTGCTAAGACTTATTTTTAGATCATTTTAGCTCCGATGTTATAGATATTGATTGCACTATATCAAATTCAACTGAAAGAATCTCTTAGTATGATTTTTATCAAAAGAAATCTGACTGAATTTGGTGGTTATATAGATAAAAACCGTTTACAATTTTTTTTTTTAAAGAAGAATAAACAAAAGTGCCCTAGAGCAAACATTGAAAAGTTGTTAAGAAAGAAAAAAAAACAGTAGTTCAACATGACGTTTGGTGTATGTCATGATTAACAAAGACAATTATTTGACCTTGGTCTTTTTTACCATTCTACACTTAGAGCTTAGAACCGAGTATCAGGTTTAACTAAATTAAAAGATTATTGTTCATTCTTTGTGTTAGTTCTAAGATGTGACGCATTATTGGCAAGTTAAAGAAGATTGATTTCTGGGAAGAGATGAAAAATAATTTGAAAGCGTTATCATTGTTCTTATGCAAGTGTGGAAGAACACCAGAGTAAAAAGTATGACAAGTAACAGCTTAAAGATGAGGCCCGATTTTTATGCCACATGTTTGTGTAGTCCCATATGCATCTTTCTGTGTACAGTGCTTGTTACTATACCTAGACTGGGCCAATTTTCTAAACATTTTGGTGACTCAAGAAACCTTGCAGTACATACCAATACTTATATGCTACATGATCAACCTTTTCTGATATATTCCACACCGTTTCTTTCATACTGCAATCGCATGATCAGAACTCAACTTTATTGACTCAGTATTGCTGAAAGTAGCATGCACTCAACACAGAAATGAGTTTATGGGACTACACAAACATGTGTCATGAAAGTTCGGTCCGAACACTTAACATAAATTTCTTGTCATATTTCAAATATGATGACATGTGTAGTGCCATCCTTTTCAGGAGATATTGTTTTTATGATAATGTAAAAATCGCACAAATTATTTTGTCATCGTTCCCTCCAAAACTCACCCATTACGCAACAACAATGACCTGGGTCACAGTTAGCACAGAAATCAAGAAATACAGCTGTTCACAATTATGTTCAGTATTGGGCCATGGACATAATATGAGCCGATTATGCAGTGGGGTCCATGGAGGAAAGACGGGTATATGAATCGCTTGGAGTAGTAACTGTCGCAGGATGATTGATGAGAGCGAGCTTTGCACACCAATTACGTGGGTGAGTCTGAAGGGTAACACGAGAGGGTTGCAAATAGGTCCTAAAATGCATCACAACTGAAATGTCTTTTTTTTTAGAAAGCAGTTTTGATCATGTATATTGCCCTCTCTGGAATTCTGTTCGTATCTGAGAATGAATTAAGCGTGTCTGGAAGGCGAGTTAGTAGCAAACAGTTAAGATACACATAAGCTTATAACATACATGAGCAGGATAGCAAGCATATAGGGTGTTGTCGGCGTAGCCCCTACCCCCCCCCCCCCCCCCACCCCACCAAAAGGTCAATACTACTATTAGTTTTCGGTATTACGCAGAGGAGCTCACGTACATCCACCTTCATCCTATATTATCAATTTCTGGTTATGCCACTGATACGCATGCCATTTTCTGAGGGTTAATTCTATTACGTATGAAGCAATATCATACATTAGCGGGACATTTACAAGGAAAACAAAAATATCATGCACAAAATCAAATGCTGTGTAATCTTCAGTGCCATCGAAACAGTGACAATTTGATATTTCAATAGTATGCCATATTCCATTACTTGTACAACTTACAAGTCTTATGTACCTTTTAGAAGTTTCTTGTTTTCTAGAATACATATTTTATTTGTTTTGTTGGTCTACTGGGATGACCACTTGAAGGCATGGGCGTATCGACGCAATTTCGTCTGGGGATGACGTCTCTTGCCCGACCGTCATGTTTCCACTTACGATATTTAACACGTCTTTCAATAAAATAAAAATAGAAATAAAATGAAAATGAAATAGGAATACCTCGCCGCCCTAATATTGGTAGCTTCAAAATTATCTTGGCTGTCGTATGCCTGGTTAGTGATATGTTATAAACTTGTTTTATTACGTGAAGGTTGAGTTCTGGGAAGAAGTGACAAATAATTTGTCAACGTTATCATTGTTATTATGTTATTATTATTAAGTGTGGAAGATAATCAGATTAAAAATGTTTCCAAAAAAGCATAGCTCTTCAAATGCCTTAATATTCTAAATATGGCGTGTAAAAGCATAGCAATCGGGACGGGTTTTTACGCCACAAGTTTGTGTAGTCCTACATAAATCTTTCTGTATACAGGGCTTGTAACTTTACCAAGACTGTGCCAAATTTGTTATCATTTTGATGATTCCAGAACCTTGTAGTACACACCAATACGTTAGATGATCAAACTTTTCTGATCGATTCCACACTGTTTCTTTCACAATGCAATCGCAGGACCAGAACTCAACTTTATCTTTAAGGTTTGTTCACATTTGACGCGGCAAACCGGCTAACCGCGGTGGTTTCTTTTATGATGACGTGAAGACTAGTCCTTTGTTGCACGTAGTTGCCTTTCATTTATACGTCCAAAAAACACGGTGATCTTTTTACGGCGATTTACCGCGTCATGTCTGAACACACCTGTAATCCGGAAGTCGGTTCTTTTTTAGTATGGCTGTATGCAACGTATCAATTCGTCATATTAAATCTACTGCATATTGATATTAAAATGGAACAAGTCCTTTTTTATAAAGAGTATACCTGGCTTGCTTCTTTATGCAATGCTGCATGCTGTTCCTTTGTACCCTTTAGTACTTTGTAAACGTACTTTGTAATTGGGTAACGACGGAATTTTCTATAATATTGCTAAGAACATGGTCTAATTTCCTCAGTATAGCCTAATCAGTATCAATACTCTGGGCCTTTTTAAGTTTCATCATTGTCTCATACATACATATATACATACATATTGATATTTATATAGCGCCTTTACATAAACATGCTCAAAGCGCTTTACATTAGTAAATATAACAGAACAATTATTTCGCTCTCCAAGTGCATACACTGTATAAAATTTGTTGAGTAAAGCTCTGTAAAGTTATACAAAAAGTTGTGCACCACATGAACCAAGCGTGGTTCATACAGTACACAACCCAATTCACATCCCGCACAACTCTACACAACAACTACCAACATCATTACCAACTACTCATTTAATAAAGCAGGTGTCTTGTCCCATGACGTAAGCACAGGATAACGATCGAACCCAGGACCTCTCGTACGAGAGTCAAGAACCCTTGCCAATATACCACAGTGCCTGCTTCCACTCTTCTTTTTTGTATAATATTCAATATATCTGCTTTCATGTGGACAGGGTATATATTGATTTAAGTTGTTTTTTTAAACCTGCCATCTCAAGCTAACGGATTAAAAATTGGCTACTGTACTAATATTTTTCGAAGTAATTTCGAGCCGACATTTGATAAATGAATATGATATGAACGACAAGCCGAACCAACAGGAATAAAATATTAGACGACATAGCCGACTTATTAATTATGGCAGCGGCAAACTACCACGGAATGACCGCCTCAATAATAATGACTGTACCGCTACAATGAGCTCAAGATTTATGCTACAATAGAAGACCGCGTCGTGGACGACTGTAACAAATTGGCTGATTGCTACTTTAAAAACATTAATTGAGTTGAAATGTTATCATTTTTTATTTTAGGACAAAATGTTGAATTGAGTTCAGTCGTCGATACGAGTTAGAGTTGAAAAGCCGCCAACGTAAGCTTGGGAATCCCTGACATGTGCTCTTAGAACAATACCGTTATAAGAAACTGTATAATGATTGCTAGTATTAAAAAAAAGAGAATCGAAAAAAGGAGGGAAAAAAAATTAAACTTGCTGTGTACACGAAAAAGGTTATTCGTCGGTTTATGACATCACTCTCTCAATATAACAAGAAGAGACTATAATCACGTAACTTCAGTCAAAAGAAACTGACTGTTGTGAATTCCTATTGTACACAAAGAAAGAGAGATCGGGAAAGATGGAGAGAGTGAGGGGCGATATAGAGACACAGAGAAATAGATGAATAGACAAACAGAGTGAAAGAGAGAGAGAGAGAGAGAGAGAGAGGAGGGCAGGAAGAAAGATGAAAGGGACAGGAAGGTCGACTGCCAGCGAGAGAGAGAGAGAGAGAGAGAGAGAGAGGTGGTAAAAAGTGACTGATAAACATATTGGGTAAAAGGGACTAGACATTTTTTTTAAATAAATGACCCCTACAGTACAAATTCTCTTTATTTTCTTTGCCAAGTTAACGTTGTCACTCCGCCCCCCCCCCCTCTCCCCCGCTCTGAAGCCGCCAAACAAATCAGTTTCCTTTCCTTGATTAAAGACACGTACTTGCCTCTATTTCTTCAATGCCCCTTATCTAATGTCCCCATCATTCCCGCGATACCATCATTCAAATGATGCGCCCTGATTACTGTGATGAATTCCAGCAGAGTCATTTATCTGCCAAGCCTTGCATTAAGAATGATTTATACACGACATCGTTGACGTTATATTTGTACTTTGAGGACTTGAAGACCCCATCCATCATCCCGTTCTCGAGTAATGAAATAATGCCATGCAGACTAAGATCCCCCTCCCCCCCCCCCCCCCCAAAAAAAAAAAAAACAATTGATAGAGAAAAGGGAAAGAGAGAAAAGGAGAGGGAGGGGAGAGGAGTTGAAAATAAAATAAAACCACACCTTTTTGTACCCTCTTTATTTCCTGTGGCCTTGTTCGTGTTTCATATATACCAGATAAGGCTTGCGCCAGTGTCTCCTCAACGGTGGGACTACCACTAACCCACTGTCAATTCATTAAAACATTGGTATATTGGTCCAGTTAGAACTCCTCCACAGAAAATGTATAAACAATGAATAGAACTATTTCTTTTTATTGTCTTTTTAGGTTTTACATGTTATAAGGTGAATCCGTCATCCTTTATTCCGGGTCTACATGTATTATTTTAAAAGTGTAATATGCTCTATCTATAAGTCATTATAATTGTATAGAAAGCGAAAAAGTTTGTGTAAACTTGAATCAGAGTAAGGCGTCTCTACTTTTCAGTAATTCTTCTAAAACAATATTTCACTCCGTCCTCATTTTTTGTTCACCAATATTCCGTGGACGAAATGGAAGACGAAACCCGCGTGCACGGGGACCCACCCTACCGCCAGCCGTTAACGAATACCATACGCAGATCGTCCTTCCCCTCCATCTCGACATCGTATCTCTTCTGTCGAGATCGTTTACTGAAGATTACCATCTGAGTTTTAACAAGTCAGTCAGCAGCAAACAAAAGATTTCTATCTCTTAAACTGCTTATTGCTCTAGGACATGCAGGTTCTGAGAACGGATGGTGCCCGCTTTCCCTTTCCTGCCTCCAACCAATGATGATGTAAAGCGCTTCCTCCTGACATTTTATTAGGAACCGTGTCCTTTTTGCATATGATGAAGGCAACTATTATACTTAATGTCTACTGTCATTATCATTTTTCCTGTCTCTCTTCGCTCTTTTTGTTCGTAAAGTAAGGGCACATGCTAATAAATATTTACACCGGGACTTGGTAGCTTGCGGGCTTCGACGTTGCCATGGTGATGATGACGTCAGAGAGTGAGGGAGCGGTAAACTTTCAGTGATGAACTCGGAATCGTGTTTCGTTTTCTGAACCGAGTTATCAATCTCATTTGAAAGTGACCACAGAGTGCCTCGTAAAATGCAATAATGATGGGATAGGGAAAGAGTGTACAACCTGTTAAATATGAATAGCGTATAACGCGATGGCGAAGATTTTATGAAAAATTTAAACTAAGGCGATTTCAATAGCCTGTCCATCACCTACTGAAATGTGCGAAGATTACAATGACATTATGACGTCATCTCAATATGATTTCTGTAGGCCATTCAATATGGTATTGGCATTACCTTTGCGATAGGCTTGTGGGTGTATATTTCGTGAATCTCTTGTAAATTCATCTCTCTTCTATATTTTAAGAGAGAGTAAAGATGTGAGTCGATATGATCTACCCATCATGCTCGATAAAGAACGAATAATCAAAAGATTGCTCTGATGATTGTATCGATTTAGTAAAACACTGACAGTGAAACTGTAAACTGTAATATTACCCTGTTACTCTGTAAATTGAAAAAACTTCAGCTCTTAGCTACACGTTCATTTTTTTTATTTCATTATTGATATGACTTTTATCTCAATACTATTGCATGGGTAAATCATTCTACTAAATTATTATCTCGCGGTATAAATTTCATGTTACCCGCTTCATACAGTACTTGTGATATCAATGACAGTTGTAATATTAATGGCACTGAATGAATTCAAAACCTTATGAAAGTCCAACGTTTTAGTTGTGTAACTATAAGTTTAAATTTAGTAAACAAATAATTAAACTTGATATTTAAAGAAAATCAGTAAATCGAGTAATCCACTGTGTGTGTTTTATGAGACACCCTATACATGGGGTGATACTAGGTGGTGGTTTCGGCGGGAATGATTGGGGTTAGATTTTGTCTCGTTAAGTTAGATTTCACCCCGATCTCCTTCATTCATTATGAATGATGAAGCGGCTCTCCCAGAAGGTGATTTTCTATTGACTTCGTAACATTTAAACTCACACAAAAGTCAGGAAGTTTAATATTACTCGCGCGTTTTTGCAATAGCGTTAATGGCAGACGCTTGGAGAAATGTATTTTGAGAACGAGGACGATTGCATAAAGAAAATGGAAATCTTTGTCTAGATAAGGAACTGAGGTTTCTCTTGTTAATAACACCAAGCACGTATGATGATGGTCTTGATGAAGTAGCAACACCGAGATGAAAATCGTTTAGTACAGAAGAAATGGGGTGGC